CCGCCTGAACATCAACATGTTGAAGTCTTGTTCTTATACCTGAAGCAAACTTAAGCGAGCCCACATTGACGCACAGCGAATTCTTTCGCTTTTCTTTCTTTTAATTTTTTTTTAAAAAATTGCTCAGGTTGATGTTTTTAGTCGACATTAGTTCGTATTTTAAAAGTCACATGATATTGTTTTTAAAAATAAAAAATACGAAACGAAAGTGGGCAATTAAAAAAAACAAACAAACCTGGGAGATAAGGAGGATTCCAGAACGAACAAAGGCTCATAATATTTTCCAGACGATGAGACACTTTCACGAGACACAATGAGAGACCAGAAGATAAGAGGAGAAAACGATTTTTAAAAAAATCCTTCCAAAATCAGAATTCCGTTTAAACGAGTCATAGTCCAGTCACGGGGGGTGAGTACGAGACGTTCATAAGACCAACACACGTTGTGAATATTGTGATCGGTCGTCCTCCGTAACATTCGTGTTTAGGGTTTCAAACCCGAGAACTGTGTGTTGAGGGCTTATGTATACGCCCCCAGGACACCTCCTCCCCCAAACCACTCCCTGCACGTTTTTTGTTGCAACAAAAGAATCGTGATGTCAAGCAAGAAATACGCTTTTCACATATTATCAGACTTTAGGGGGAGGGGTGTAAAAATTTACTGTTGGAAAAACAAAAGAATAAACGTACCTCTCTGTGTAACTGTAAGCATTTAAATACATCACGTACTTATGTCAGGGGTAGAGTGAACAATTTTATTCCAGCGTGTGTGTAGTCGTATGAACGATCGCCCTCTTCCGGAGTCTGAGAAAGACAACACAGCTGAGACAGTGGCACAGCTACCAGATCAGAACACACCACTACACATTACAGTCACTTATAGTTACCAGCAGATGACATAACTACTGAACTTACGGCTTAGTTACTGAGCAAATCTTCAGGTTATTAAAACAACGACGTAGTATTCATCAAAAGAAGTCAAATAAATGTCCAATCTACTGATTCCCTCTGTTGTTTCTGTCTGTCTGTCCGGCTGTCTTACTTTTTCCGGCACTAAATAACCATCATTATGTCGATGTGCTCTGTTGTCTTTATGCCCAACAAACAAAAAATAAATCCCAGCTGCTGCTGTCTCACCCCTGACCCCGACGGTTGACCTTGACCCCCCCCC